GAGAGGTACTATTTTTTATTATGCTATTTCACATAAGAGTGAACTGAAACTTGGAAAGGTCAAGTCATTCGCTCAGGTTCACAAAGCTAGGAAATAGTCAAGTTTGCATTTGAACCCGTGTCTGTCTCATTCCAAAACTCAAGTTCTTGACCATGAACTATTGTCAGGAAACAAGATTATATGATCATAGTCTGCTCCCTGATTGGTTCCGCCCATCACCACTGCCTGGAGAACTCTGCAGCACTACAAGATATGCTAGATGAGTTGTCTTGAATAACAGCGCTGACTCAGAGCAAGACTGGGCTTTCTCCACTCCACCATGCTGGCCTCTCTTTATACTTCAGACTCTCAGAAAGTTCATTTTTAGGCCACCCATATAACTAATGAGTACCCCTTGGCCCTGATCCCATCAGCTTCTTCAGTCTCCTCATCAACCTAGTCTAATGCCCCAGCACAGCTCACAGCTGACCCGATTGATGGTGGTTTTGTAACAAAAATCTTTAAAACTCCAACCACTGAGAGGCAGATCTATGTTCTGACCCCTTGAATCTGAGTAGGCTTATGATTACTTTGACAAAGACAGTAGGAAGAAGTGTTGCCATGTGATTTCTGAGGTTAGACCATAAAAAGGCACACAGCTTCATTCATTCGTGGAGCCCCGAGGGAACACGTAAGTTCAAATACCTAGAGGCCATCAGGTTGTGCCCAGCCTACACAGATGGTTAAAAGTAGGCACTCTGGCCAACAGTTTCAGAAGGAGCCCAGTCTTCAAGTCATCCCAGCCCAGGTGCTAAACAAAAATCTTCAGACTTCAAAAATCCTCTCAGATGAGATACTGGACATTGTGAAGCAAAGAAAAGGCATCTTCACTGTGCCCTGCCAACTTCCTTATCCAAAGAATCCACAAACATAATACAATGGCTGTTGCTTTATGTTACTAGGTTTCGGGCTGGCATGTCACACAGCAGTGGATAACTGGAACACCATCTCAGGGCCGAGCCCAGGAGTTAAGTGTGCTGGCTCCGAAACCACATAGAACTGGGTTTGAATTCTAGGTTGTGCCTTTTTCTAGACTAGGTAAGTTATTGCACTCCCTTGAGCTTTACTTCTATTACCTGAAAAATAGTAATAGTGATAATATTTCAATTCAAGGACTATTCTGAGGATTACACGTGACAGTGTATGAAATATCTCACTGCCCGGTAGGTAGCAAGAACCCTGTAAATATTGGCTTTGATTGTTTTTACTGTGTGTCTTATTAACTGCAGTTAATGATGTTAATACTTTATGGGTGAGGAAATCAAAACTGAGAAGTGAAATGACTTCCCAAAGGTCACAAAACCGATCAGACTTTCTAATTCCATCTCTAGAGCTTTAAAGCCTTGCCACCACAGACACAGCCAGCTTCAGGTGGAGCCAAATGATTTCTGAGGGGCTTGGGGGGTGAGAAAAACACCACTGATCTTTGAACCATCAGGAGGCACCAGAAGAGACATGGAAGAACTTCTCTCTCTGGGTCCCCAACTTCATAAAGCCCCAAGCATGAATTTAGAGGGACGTCTTCCAAACGTATTCTCAAATCAGCTTCCCTCTAAAGCAAAGCTAAAAAGAGATGTGGCACTCGAACGCCATCCCTTCACATGCTGGTAAGAAGCTTATCTAGCCCAGTGTGTGCCCACCTTCAGAGCTGAGTGGAGAGGGCCTGCTGCTGCGAGTTCCCTCTGGGAGCTCTGGGGGTGAGTGAGTCACAGGGATGACGGGGAGGGGAGGCAGGGGAGGGGCCGGGAACCAGCTCAGGTGGCTGTGCACAGACAGGAACCCCTGCAGGGGTGAGGTGTGGGGTGAGGCAGGGAGACACACGGGTGGGCTGCGCCTTTCAGAAACCAGAGGTTTTGAATTTGAGAGTTGGAAGAAGACAAAGCATTTTGTCCAACTTCCAGCATCTTACAGATGAGAAAACTTGAAGGAACAGGGACAGAGGAAGTTTATAGCACTGAAAGTCCACCCACATGAACTGGTTTTAAAAAAGATTCCTTAGTAGCCCAACCGTGTACTCCCTGGGGGCTTAGAGGGGGCGCTAGTGGTAAAGAACCTGCCTGCCAATGCAGGAGACATAAGTGACGTGGGTTCCATCCCACGTCAGGAGGATCCCCTGGGGGAGGGCATGGCAACCCACCCCGGGATTCTTGCCTGAAGAATCCCATGGACAGAGGAGCCTGGCGGGCTGCAGTCCACGGGGTCACAAGGAGTTGGGCACAACTAAAGTGACTTTAGCATGCACACACACAAATCCTCCCTGGGTCTAGGGGATACAGGGAGAATCTCTTTTTTACAGATGAGAAAACTGAAGTTCTGCAGAAAAAGCGTCACACTGGCGTTCACACAAGTTAGCTTGGAAGCTAAACTTAGAGCCTAGTCTTTCGATCATGGATTTCATCTACTTTAACCCCATACACCTTCCCTCCCCCATAAAACTGGAGTGAGATATTAACGAGCCCACTACTTTACTGCCCAGAAATTCACAGGGTAAGAGAGTCTTTCTTCTGTAATTAGAGCGGATGTGTCAGTTATCAGTTAGAGACACAGATGTCTGTTGAGAATGGGAAGGGAAAAAAAAAAGCACACACACAAAAGGTGTGAAAATTAAATAGAAAAGATGAAGCTTTAAATTAGAAAGGATCACCTTTTGTAGAAGAAGAAACCAAAGCACAGAAGAGTAAAATGAGCTTCCAGCTGGTGGAAGGTATAAAGTTGTGCAAAGTGAAGGGCATGGCCTTAGGGTACCCAAAGATCCAGATTCCCCTCCCGGGCTGGATCTGTACCAGACAAGCATCCTCAGGCAGAGCATTGAAACTGCAGCACCTCTATTTTCTCCTCTGTGTGATGGGAGTAAAATAACCTCTTCATATGGCTGCTCTGAGGACTGAATATAAAACAGCTTAGCAAGTAGATCTTCCACAACTTTTCTTGCTAAAGGATGGAGTCAAGGCTCCAAACAGTATTCCTTTTTTTTTTCCATTTATTTTTATTAGTTGGAGGCTAATTACTTTACAACATTGCAGTGGTTTTTGTCATACATTGAAATGAATTAGCCATGGATTTACATGTATTCCCCATCCCGGTCCCCCCTCCCACCTCCCTCTCCACCCAATCCCTCTGGGTCTTCCCAGTGCACCAGGCCCGAGCACTTGTCTCATGCATCCAACCTGGGCTGGTGATCTGTTTCACCCTAGATAATATACATGTTTCGATGCTGTTCTCTTGAAACATCCCACCCTCGCCTTCTCCCACAGAGTCCACAAGTCTGTTCTATACATCTGAGTCTCTTTTTCTGTCTTGCATATAGGGTTATCATTACCATCTTTCTAAATTCCATATATATGTGTTAGTATACTGTAATGGTCTTTATCTTTCTGGCTTACTTCGCTCTGTATAATGGGCTCCAGTTTCATCCATCTCATTAGAACTGATTCAAATGAATTCTTTTTAATGGCTGAGTAATATTCCATGGTGTATATGTACCACAGCTTCCTCATCCATTCGTCTGCTGATGGGCATCTAGGTTGCTTCCATGTCCTGGCTATTATAAACAGTGCTGCGATGAACATTGGGGTACACGTGTCTCTTTCAGATCTGGTTTCCTCGGTGTGTATGCCCAGAAGTGGGATTGCTGGGTCATATGGCAGTTCTGTTTCCAGTTTTTTAAGAAATCTCCACACTGTTCTCCAGAGTGGCTGTACTAGTTTGCATTCCCACCAACAGTGTAAGAGGGTTCCCTTTTCTCCACACCCTCTCCAGCATTTATTGCTTGTAGACTTTTGGATAGCAGCCATCCTGACGGGTGTGTAATGGTACCTCATTGTGGTTGTGATTTGCATTTCTCTGATAATGAGTGATGTTGAGCATCTTTTCATGTGTTTTTTTGCCATCTGTATGTCTTCCTTGGAGAAATGTCTGTTCAGTTCTTTGGCCCATTTTTTGATTGGGTCATTTATTTTGCTGGAGTTGAGCTGGAGGAGTTGCTTGTATATTTTTGAGATTAATCCTTTGTCTGTTGCTTTGTTTGCTATTATTTTCTCCCAGTCTGAGGGCTGTCTTTTCACCTTGCTTATAGTTTCCTTTGTTGTGCAAAAGCTTTTAAGTTTCATTAGGTCCCATTTGTTTATTTTTGCTTTTGTTTCTAAAATTCTGGGATGTGGGTCATAGAGGATCCTGCTGTGATTTATGTCAGAGAGTGTTTTGCCTATGTTCTCCTCTAGGAGTTTTATAGTTTCTGGTCTTAACATTTAGATCTTTAATCCATTTTGAGTTTATTTTTGTGTATGGTGTTAGAAAGTGTTCTAGTTTCATTCTTTTACAGGTGGTTGACCAGTTTTCCCAGCACCACTTGTTAAAGAGGTTGTCTTTTTTCCATTGTATATCCTTGCCTCCTTTGTCGAAGATAAGGTGACCATAGGTTCGTGGATTTATCTCTGGGCTTATTCTGTTCCATTGATCTATATTTCTGTCTTTGTGCCAGTACCATACTGTCTTGATGACTGTGGCTTTGTAGTATAGTCTGAAGTCAGGCAGGTTGATTCCTCCAGTTCCATTCTTCTTTCTCAAGGTTACTTTGGCTATTTGAGGTTTTTTGTATTTCCATACAAATTGTGAAATTATTTGTTCTAGTTCTGTGAAAAATACTGTTGGTAGTTTGATAGGGATTGCATTGAATCTATAGATTGCTTTGGGTAGTATAGCCATTTTGGCAATATTGATCAAACAGTATTCCTTAGTCCCAGGTTTTGTTAAAAAAAAAGAGAGAGAGAGAATATGTGATTGTCGTGCTAGACCTCTACTCACATCTGTAGTAGTGGCTGCCAACTGGAGGAGTGACTGAGCTCACAACCTGCTCCTCCCCGACTCTGGGAATGTCCCAGAGAGGGGCCCCGGCAACCATTCCTTGCTGTTTCGTCCGGGCCCCATGTCGTAGCTAACCGGCCCAGAGCTGAGCGCTGCAGATGCGTCAGGTTGGTCGGAGGTGTCCCCGGGACTTTCACACCAGCCTCTCGTCTCTGGCGGGGGCCACAGAACACGAGTGGTGAGAACCACAGGAAGCCCCTGTGTTCCATGCCTCAGAGGGGAGGCCAGGGAGAAAGGAAGGGGCCGATAGGAGAGTCATGAGAGAGAGGCGATGTGCGGCCACCTTCCAGGCGCGCTTGTGACCCAAACACACCCCTCACCCGAGGCTTGCCAGATGCCCGTGTCCTTCCAGGTGAATCAGTCTCTTGCCCAGGTATTTTTGCCCACGGGATTGAACTGGGTGATGATTAAGGCTTCCTCAGTCCTTAACCAGTTGTGATTCTTGAATATGGACTGAATACCTACAACTCCAAGAATTAAGGACAAAGGAGCATTTCAAGATCCCCAGATATTCAACTATGCCTGTGCGTGCATGCCAAGTCACCCAGTCGTGTCCAGCTCTTTGTGACCCTATGAGCTGCAGCGCACTAGGCCCATCTGTCCATGGGATTCTCCAGCAAGAACACTGGAGTGGGTTGCCATGTCCTCTTCCAGGGGATCTTCCTGACCCAGGGATCGAACCAGTATCTCCTGCGTCTCTTGCATTGGGAGGCAGATTTTTTACCAGTGAGCCCCCTGGGAAGGTGTACTCCAATAAATAATAATAATAATAATAAAGACAGAGATGATAACCCCAAGATGAGGAATTTCTAATTGACCTTTTATAGCCACCTCCCTTTGACTGAGCTTCTGATCTTAAACTTAAGAGCATAAATAATACACCTCTTTACCATAGAGGAGACTTATCAGAACCCCATTTGAAGGCATTATTCTTTTTGCCATTTTTATAGATGTTTAAAGATGTGCTGGTCCTTCCTGGTTTAAATCTCCATCTTCTTTAGGGAGACTGACCCTGGAAGAATCTGTCCTATCCCCACCCCCAGGTCGATCTCAAGCCTTCACGAAAGAGTTTCAAGTTCTGAGGTGCTGATGCAACCCTTGACCCTTAAGTTAACGAGCCCTCTTCCTGAAGCGGGTCAGCTGGACCCACACTGTCAATGCACTCCTGAAACAGCCCACTGGGCTTGCCAGAGGGAAATCCTGCCGTCTGATTCACTTGACCAGTGTTTCCAGCACCAGTGGTGGGTCAGTCTGGAGACATCATGGGAGATAAGATCAGAAATGTAAAATACACACGCCATGGCACCTAGCAGGTCCCCACATGGGCAAAAGGAAGCCTCAGAAACAAGCAGTGGCAACCTTCCAGAGAATACACTGTAACCCAGGTTGGCACAAAGTTGTCTGAGGAAAGGGAACAACAAATTGGCCCCAGGAGTTCTGAGAGGGCTTGCTTCCCAGAGGACACGGGATCTGAGTCTTCAGTCAGCTTGACCCCTCCACAGGTCTGGAACCTGGGCAAGTGGTCTCTGGCATGTCCGTTTCCTCCTCTGTAAAACGGGACAGTAATATCTCCCCCGCAGGTTTGTTGTGTGGCTTAAGTGAGCTAATCCATGTAAAGTGCTTGTAATTGGTTCTTGACACCAAGCAGCCAAGCCCATCAGCGGTTACCAAGAGCATCAACATTGAAGGGTTAATGTGAGTGTGTCAGAGAGACAAGCGGGGAGGATGTTACAGTCAGAGGGAAGGACACATGCTATGCTTGGAGTCTGGCAAGTTATCCCTGGTGGGAAAGTCAGTGTGTGGGGTTATAAGGAGTTGACCTAACTTTTTCAATGAAGGGTCAGATAGCAAGTATTTCAAGGTTTGTAGCACAAGAGACAGTGTCCCCAACTCTTCAAGCAACCTTTGCAAGGAAAAAGGCTAACAGTGCCACATTTTACTTCTGAAAAGGTAAAAGCCATTCTTTGCTCATGGTAGACACAGGCTGCGGGCTGCCTTTGGCCTACAGGCCATGGTGTGCCAACCTCTGCTCCAGGAGAAGGCCAGAGGCCAGGCTTGCAAGGCTCTCATGGGCCTGGCTAAGGAGCCTGGGTTTCTCCAGGCAGGGGAGAGGCAAAGGCTTTAAACAAGGGACTTTGAGATCATATTTGCATGTGGCAACACAGTGAAAAGAATGGATTAGGGTGAAGAGGGAAGTTTAAGTTGACAGTCCAATTAGAAAATTACTGTGATTGCAACAGAAGTGAAATTTGTGCAGGGGCCGTGGTGATAAAGATGCTGAGCTATTTAGAGGCAACATGAACATAACTGGTTGTCTAGTTTTGGTGCTAAGAGGAAAAGAGAGGCAGAACACTCACTGTATCTGTGCATTCAATGACAGATCAACCTCTATTTAGAGAGGAAGCGAGTACCCCAGCCCCAGAAGCATTCAAACAGAGTATAGATTCCTGCCTGACAGCTGTTCTGTAAACAGCAATGATGGAGACAGCAACAGATAAAGTCTCTCCTCGCCCTAAGAGTCCATGACTCTATGCTTCTGAGATCGTCTTTATCAATCTAACAGAAGAGAACAATTTGTTTAGTCAATGAAGGATATAGACAAACTTCACTCTTCAATACAAATCACCTTAATTTTGCAGAAAGCTGTCTATTTTCTACAGCGCTCACATCCATTATCTCTCTGAGGGGCCTGGGAAAGGACTATGAAAACTGAAAAATGCTAGACAAACATAAGATTGTATTATTATCATTATTATGTTACAAACACACTTCAACTGAATAAAAGAATTCTCTGCTTTATTTCAGATTTAGTGCAGTTACTCTGCCTTTGGTCCAGTGAGTTATTTATTTCTATATCCGTTTCAACTCTTGGACAACACTTGGGACATAGTAATAATCAAAAGATGTTTGTCAAATCTTAACAATGTGTCAAGAGCCAATTCGAAAAGCATTTGATCGGCACAGCCTTCTCCTATCACTGCAGAGAAGACACAACAGTCCCACTGCTAGCTGCAATTGCAATAGCAGTATCATTAATAATAGTACTCACCATTTATCAGTGTCCCCTGTGGTAGACACTGGTCAGGACTTTGCAGACATTCTCAATTAAGGCTCTCAAGAACCTAGTGATAAATCTTATGGTGGTGCCCATTTTACAGATAAGACAAGAAAATCAAGGTTCAGAAAAAGGCAGCTGCTTGCGCAAATTCATCAAGGTTCAGTTCAGTTCAGTTCAGTCGCTCAGTCGTGTCCGACTCTTTGCGACCCCATGAATTGCAGCTTGCCAGGCCTCCTTGTCCATCACCAACTCCTGGAGTTGACTCAAACCCATGTCCATTGAGTCGGTGATGCCATCCAACCATCTCATCCTCTGTTATCCCCTTCTCCTCCTGCCCCCAATCCGTCCCAGCATCAGGGTCTTTTCCAATGAGTCAGCTCTTTGCATGAGGTGGCCAAAGTATTGGAGTTTCAACTTCAGCATCAGTCCTTCCAATGAACACCCAGGACTGATCTCCTTTAGGATGGACTGGTTGGATCTCCCTGCAGTCCAAGGGACTCTCAAGAGTCTTCTCCAACACCACAGTTCAAGAGCATCAATTTTAGAACTGTGCTTTCAAACACAGGTTGATTTTAATGACCCAGCCTTCCTCATGGACACGGGGAAGCATTTTCGAACATATTTATTTTAGGAGGGAGAGATTTGGGCTGTTCTGTGTGCCAAGACTGGCCATAACGTTTTCTGTTGTAACTGCCTCTCCATCTCAGGGTCTCTCTGGGAAGCAAACCTCTTGGCTGCAGACTCGGGCGGAAACCGCCGCGTCTGGTTCCCTGGGTCCAGCCGCCAATGCGGCTGCCGACCAGCAGAGGGCAGCTGCGGGAAGCCGTCCAAGGACAGCCTCCGCCCGCATTAGAGCTAATTAAGCCGCGAGAGGCAAGTGCATTTCTGCCTGATGAAAGCACACAGATCTACTCCTGCGCTGAGCAGAGCAGGAATATCAGCGGGAGGGACGTTTGCCGGCTTCCAAGAAGCCAGCTAGATGGTGCCATGCTGGCTGCCTGCGACGGAACACTGGCTCTTGGGAACCAGACGTGGGGGCTTCCCTCAAGCCCCTCCTCTCTCGGACAGGACAAGAAGAATCTGGCCCAGGGCTAGAGATGTGAAGCTGACTGGTTGGCTGGAGCCAAAGGAGCAGACAGTTTGCGGCAGAAAAGCCAACCCAGACGTGCCAAGAGATACAGAGGGATGCATCAAATGTGTGTTTACAAAACAGGGTGAAACACAAACGTTTGCTCCTGACTTTATTATAAAACTAGAACAATTCAGGCAACTGTGGTGGGTTAGGTTATTTGTACACTGAATATACATACGAGGTGTGTACGCTCAAAATGTGCATGAGTGAGGCACATACACACACAAAGTAAATAAGAATGCGTCTCCACTGATGCAGATGCGGAGTGAGGTAGGCGGCTGCACTGGTGTGAATTCAGATGGCCTGAATTCCAGTACCAGCCTTACCACAAATCCGTGCAACCTTGAGCAAGGGATAAACCATTCTGAACCCTGTTGCCTCCTTTGTGAAATGGACCCTAGCTGGGTTATGGAAACCATACAGTTTGGAAGCTCACTCAGAAGTTGGGGGGACTAGATCAAGTTACCCAAGGAAGACTGGAACTGCCCCCCCCCCAATGTCTTTTACCAAGTCTCCAACCTTAGAGGAGGCAAATGAGGTGACCCAGTCCACATCCGTGCCTCCAGACCAACACCCCAGGGATGGTCTCATCTATCCAGCAGTGTGGGAAACTTTCAAGTCAATCTTTTCTCCCTATGAGTACAATCTTGCTACATAAGTAATTCCTTGTTCCGTCCTCCTTTGCCACTTAACTTTAGCATAGAGAATAAGCATCTCATAAACATCTCTAAAGGGCCACAGAATGTTTCCTTACATGGATATCTGTACCCTTCTGTTGCTATTTGGTCCTCCCCACCCCCCCCACCCCTCCTTTGGGCTACTATAAATAATGCTCGGGGGGTGGGGGGAACCTTCGTGCATAGAACTTTTCTCTATTTTGGGGAATCTTCCTTTAGAAAAAAAAATGCCAAAATTAAATTACTAAAATGAAATCATATTTTGAGACTCATCGTGTACATTGCCAAACTGTTTTCCAAAACGGCTGCCCTAGTTTACGCAGCTACCAGCAATGCATGAGTGGGTCTCTGTCAGCCCACTCTCCAAAGCACTGGCCCGCCTCCTCTTTCTTTGTTGAAACGTTGTTAATTCAGTAGGCAAAAAGTGTTATCTCTTGGTTTTAACAAGCGTATCTTTGATTATTAGAGAGAAGGAGCACGTTTTGCTTGTGTGTGTTCACCCACTGTTGTGTTTCCTCTTCTGAGAATTGTCTCTGTGCCCTGTGCTCACTTATCTGCTGGGGTCTTAGCGAATTTAATTGATTTGCATGTGCTCTTTACTTAATAAAGATAGTAATCCTTTGTCATATTTGCTGTGAGTATTTTTCCCCAGTTTGCTTTATGTCTTTTCCTTTGTCGTTTCCTCTGTCACTTCTAAGCTTAGACAGCCACCCTGTCCTCCAGAGACTTGATAAATATTCATTTCTAATTCCTAATGTTTTTTTCTCCTAGTATGATGTGGTTCTATAAGCCTGAGATGCCACGGGCCCATGAAGCTATGATTCCGCGCCTCCACAATGACCGCGTAGAACCCGGGTTACCTCCCGAGGCCCAGGCTCCATAGGGTTTCGCTTCGCCCTTATCCGCCCTCGCCCTCCAGGTTGTAAGCTCCGTGAGGGCAGGGCCGTGTCTGTCTCACTCCCCCTGAATCCTGGGAGCCCAGCACGGTGCCAGCGCATCGCAGGTGAGCACTGCAGTGCCCAGCCCTTTCCCTGAGAATACGCTCAGGTTCTGGACCCACATCCGAGCAAGCAGGATGGGTGATGACAGGTGTGAGGCCGCTGAGGACAGCAGGGAGAACGTTCCCAGAGAAAGGAGAGCCCCCACTGAATCAAAGAGCGGAAGAACACGGCACGGAGGAAACGGCAGCTCACTGAGTTTACCAACAGCATGGGCATGTGAAACCTCAACAGAACCTGTGGCTGCAAGTGGAAGTTGGACCCAACTGGTAAAGGGCTTTGAAAGCCAATTCTGGAGTTTCACCCACGGAAGCTCCATCTTCCACGGTGCAGCCAGAGTGATATTCACAAGAGGCACATCTGATCATGTCACTCCTCTGCCTCGCCCTCTGCAAAGGCTTCCCCTGGCCTTTAGAGGACAGCTGAGAATCCTGTAATAGTCTGCAGGGTCCTGCCTTTCCCACTCAGGGTACCATCCGCCATCCTTCCCTTGCTCACCATACCACCTCCCACTCCTTTCTTCAGCGCTGCCAAGCCCGGCCCATCGCCAGGCCTCCGTGACTGCTGTTTCTGGTCCTGTGGACCCTCTCCCCCCAGTGCTCCACACAGCTGCTTCCTTTGGTTACTGGGGTCGGAGTGCAGATATCCAATGTCGCTCATGCTCATATCCCTCATCTTATCTCAGCTCATCCCCTGGTTTTACTGTCTTCACATAACTTAATCACTATCTAAACGGTCTTCTTTGCTATCTTCCTGTTCATTTTCTGTCTCCCCTTCTTGAACATAAAAACTCAGGAGGGCAAAACAACCTTTCCTGTCTCTCCTGCTAACGTCCCCCCAATAACAGTGCCTGCAGTGCGCAGCAGGTGGTGGGTAAATTTTGGCTGATTGTAGTATTAGGTCAACTCATGGGCAGCTGGGGCTCCTGGGAGGGGTGTGTGTGTGTGTGTGTGTGTGTGGTGTGTGTGTGTGTGTGTGTCTGTGTGTGTGTGTGTCTGTGTGTGTGTCTGTGTGTGTCTGTGTGTGTGTGTCTCTGTGTGTGTGTCTGTGTGTCTGTGTGTGTGTCTGTGTGTGTCTGTGTGTGTGTGTCTGTGTGTGTGTCTGTGTGTGTGTGTGTCTGTGTGTGTGTGTATCTGTGTCTGTGTGTCTGTGTCTGTGTGTCTGTGTGTGTCTGTGTGTGTGTGTGTCTGTATCTGTGTGTGTCTGTGTGTGTCTGTGTGTGTGTGTCTGTGTGTGTGTGTGTCTGTGTGTGTGTCTGTGTGTGTGTCTGTGTGTGTGTGTCTGTGTCTGTGTGTGTGTGTCTGTGTGTGTGTGTCTGTGTGTGTGTCTGTGTGTGTGTGTGTCTGTGTGTGTGTGTCTGTGTCTGTGTGTGTCTGTGTGTGTCTGTGTGTCTGTGTCTGTGTGTATGTGTCTGTGTGTGTGTGTGTGTCTGTGTGTGTGTGTCTGTGTGTGTGTCTGTGTGTGTGTCTGTGTGTGTGTCTGTGTGTGTGTGTGTCTGTGTGTGTGTGTCTGTGTGTGTGTGTGTCTGTGTGTGTGTGTGTCTGTGTGTGTGTGTGTCTGTGTCTGTGTGTGTGTCTGTGTCTGTGTGTCTGTGTGTGTGTGTGTAGGATCAGGCGTGTGTTTCAGAAAGACAGCTCTCCTGGCATGGTGGAGAATGGTTTGGACCAGAGAACTGGGGTAAGGAGACCAAATGAGGCGACATTAAAATGACCTACATTAGAAACTTTTCTGAAAAAGGAAGATTTGATCCGAGGAGAGCTAGACATGGAAGTGTGTTGTGCAGTTGATATTGGGAAGGGAAAAAAAAACCTGCACTCTGCAGTCACTGAAACAAATAAAAACAGCCCTCATTATAACTAACGTTTAGTGGTGTGTTAGCTTTCAAAGACATTCATCTCATGACAGCGTCATCGTCATCCGAAGCGGCCGAGGACCAGACTGCTGCTTCCCTTCGACAGATGAGAACGCTGACGCTCAGGCAAGTTGACTTGGGGACCCTGCGCCGCTCTTGCGCGGTGGGTGTGGACAGGAACCAAGGTCCTGAAGCTCAGCCCCGGGCTCTGCCGGCCAAGGGCTGGGCTGCCACGATTTTCCCTCAGTGCACCCTCTCCACAGAATGGTGTGGTAGCTAAAATCATGCCTCAGAGTTAATGAGACAGATGAAAAATCCCCCCTGGCCTTGGGGCCTGGAGCAGAGACCAGTGCCCCTTCCTTCCTTAAGAGAGCTAAAACATCCCAGGTCAGGGAGGAGCCCATTTGCCGCCCCATTAACAGTAAATGTCATTTACTGCAGTGATATCTCCATATCAGGCTTTTTTTTTTTCCTCCCCCGTGGCTGAAATTACAACAAAATAGAGCAGAGAACAAGGGAAGACGAGATAAACAAGGGTCAGAAAGAGACGGGGAGTGATGGCGCCATTCTAGGAGGCAGACAGGCTGCGAGACCCAGATCTCCTTATCCCCTCCAGGCTGGAGCCAGCCACGTCTTTCCCGAGGTAGCAATCACCAGTGGATCATCAGGGAACAGGGGACAGAAATCTCTGCATGCATGAGCAGCTGCAGCTGGGAGAAGGGTCTGGAACGTCTTATGATTCTCCTGAATGGACTAGCCCCCCCCCCCAATTTGGCACGTTCAGAACTCACAAACTGTTCCAATGCTAGCTGCTTCCTGGAGCTGGGATAGGTCACACTAATCACTTTAATCTTGAGCTTGTGCCTATCTGTCGTGTTTCTCTGGATGAGGAGAAAGAAGTGGAAGGCGGTAAGTCTCCCAGACCTGCACCTGCCCTTGAGTGTGCAGAACCAGGCAGGGGATGGGGGAACCGCACAGAGGATGGGGCCCATCTTAGTGGCTCCAAAAGGAGTTAGATCAGCACCTTCCACCTTTCGGGTCTTCCCAGGCATTTGCATCCAAGTGCAACTGGTGGCCACTGGATAAACCTTAAATGCGGACAGGGTCCCAGAAATAACACAATTATCTATAGACAGTGTTGATAGGGAAATAGGGTTTGAGGAAATGAGGGCCCATAGCCCAGCCTCCCAGAGTAGACCAACCAAGGAATCAATCTGGACAAGAGCTATCAGTCAACTGATTCTTTTCTCCTTCCTTCCTTCTACTTTTTCACTCACTCATCACTTCCTCTTCTTTTTCTCTGCCTCTTTCTCTTGCCTTTCCCTGAATCTGAATCCACACATTCAGATCTTTTTCCTGCATTAACAAAACCGAATTCTGCTTTTACCACTCAGCTCCAGACATACTGCCTACAACTGTTCTAAAAGAAACTGAATGGCCTCCTTTGGGCTGTTGAGTGTATGTTTGCCCATAGCTAAACAGAGGCACCACTTTAAGGTAGAAGATTGTGTGTGAGTGTGTGTGCATGTGTGTGAGTGTGTGTGAGTGTGAGCATGCGTGTGTGTGTATGTGAGTGTGTGTGGTGTGTGTGTGTGAGGGTGTGTGTGTGAGAGTGAGTGTGTGTGAGTGTGTGTGTGAATGTGTGACTATGTGTGTAACTGTGAGTGTGTGTGAGTGTGTGTGACTGTGGTGTGTGTGCATGAGTGTGTGTGTTGTGTGTGTGTGTATGTGGCGTGTGTGACTGTGTGTGTGTGACTGTGTGAGTGTGAGTGTGTGTGTGCATGAGTGTGAGAGTATGTGTGTGTGGTGTGTGTGAGTGTGTGAGTGTGTGTGTATGTGGTATGTGTGTGACTGTGTGTGTGACTATGTGTGAGTGTGTGTCTTCATGAGTGTGTGTGTGTAATGTATGTGACTGTGTGTGTGTGTGGTATGTGTATGTGACTGTGTGTGAGTGTGTGTCTTCATGAGTGTGTGTGAGTGTGTGTGAGTGTATGTGACTGTGTGTGTGGTATGTGTGTGTGACTATGTGTGAGTGTGTGTGTGTGCATGAGTGTGAGAGTATGTGTGTGTGGTGTGAGTGTGTGAGTGAGTGTGTGTGACTGTGTGGGGTGTGTGTGAGTGTGAGTGTGTGTTCATGAGTGCGTGTGTGTGTGGTATGTGTATGTGACTGTGTGTGGTGTGAGTGTGTGTTCATGAGTGTGTGTGTGTGTGTCCATGAGTGTGAGAGTATGTGTGTGGTGTGTGTGAGTGTGTGTGACTGTGTGTGTGGTGTGTGTGTGTATGTGGTGTGTGTGACTGTATGTGTGTGTGTATGTGTGCATGAGTGTGAGAGTATGTGTGTGTGGTGTGTGTGTGTATGTGGTGTGTGTGACTGTATGTGTGTGTGTATGTGTGCATGAGTGTGAGAGTATGTGTGTGTGGTGTGTGTGTGTATGTGGTGTGTGTGACTGTATGTGTGTGTGTGAGTATGTGTGCATGAGTGTGAGAGTGTGTGTGTGTGTGTGTGGTGTGTGTGTGTGTTTGTGGTGTGTGTGACTGTGAGTGTGTGACTGTGTGTGTGTGTGTGCACCTGTCGCGTGTGTGTGTGGCTGGCGGCTCCTCAGAGAAAAGGGGAAAAGGCCGAGAGAGCACACGTCGCATTGAGCCCCGCCTTGAGGAAACGCTGGCTGTCAGCCGCGGCCCGCCGGCCGCCGCGCTGGCAACGGCCTCAGCGGCCGCCCGGCCTGGCCCAGCAGCGCTCAGCCGCCGGGGTGTTGTGGGTGGCGCCAAAGAGCAGGGAAGGGGAAGAACACACAGCAAAGGCAGTGGTCTGGGTATTATTTCTTAGAATGGCTGAAGCAGTTCAGGCCAAAAAGGGCACGTGGAAAGCTCTGTGCAAGGAGAAGAGAGGAGGGTGAAATTCAAGGTGGCTTCCTGGCCGTGGACACAGCAGGGACATGAAGGGCCCAGGGCTGGCGGTGGTGGTTTAGCCGCTCAGTCGTGTCCGACTCTTGCGACCCAGTGGACTGTAGACCTCCAGGCTCCTCTGCCCAGGGAATTTTCCAGGCAAGAACACTGGAGTGGGCTGCCATTTCCTTCTCCAGGGGATCTTCCCGACCCAGGAATCGAACCCAGGTCTCCTGCATTGCAGGCAGATTCTTTACCGACTGAGTTATGAGGGAAGCCAGTAAGGGCAGAGCTAGGATGTATCCAGGCACATAGTACATGTATGTGTTTGTTGGGGAAAAGTGTTAGCTATTCAGAAACCAGGTGTAGATGCCCGTCCTCAGACTTTCCTAGAAGGAAGACTCTTGGGAAGCAGATCTGGATTCACGGAGAGCAACAACTGTTGAAAATGCAGATCAGAGAAGCAGAGAGCAAGAGGGCCAAAATCCGAGAAAAAGATGCTTTAAAGCACAGGCCTGACTATTACTCCGACACAGTGAAACTAACAGAGCAAGAGCTGGCGGCCACTGGGAAGAAAGTGAGTCCTAACACAAGTCCAAGAGGAAGGGGCGCACCTCGGTGGCTGCCAGGGAAGCCCCAGGTTCAATCGGGAGGCGGGCGAACTTGACACAAACAGACACAAGAGCCTTTACTGTGGTTTCCGTGGGCAGGAACAGGTGAGGCAGGAACACCACGTTTAGGGCTGTGCAGTTTACATATCGGGCTCTAAGGCAGCGGAGCTGTCCCTTGCTACCTGGGACCTGTCCTTTGGGTGATTAGGGCAGGAAAACAGTGGCCCAGAATGCAAGGGTCAAATAAAGGCAGTGGCTGGGGGGGGGGGGGGCGGCTCTGTGTTGGACAGTCGCATATGAAAGATGCACTTACAGGCAGGCTCCTTACTATCTCTGGGAATTAAAGGCAACCTTCCAGAGTCAGCAAGGCCTCAAAATGTCAAAGCATCACAAATACTAAAAAGGTGCGATCAATACAGACATCCAGTTCCTAAGGGTGAGAGTCTAGATGGGGTGGGGGTGGGGAAGAAGCAAAGATGCAGACATGGGTAAGCCGAGAAGACACAGACCCGAGGAGATGGATACGCCTGTGAGTGGGGGTATCTGTGTGTCAAGGAAAGCTGCTGCGGCTGCTAAGCCACTTCAGTCATGTCGGACTCTATGCGACCCCATAGGTGGCAGCCCACCAGGCTCCTCCATCCCTGGGATTCTCCAGGCAAAAACTCTGGAGTGGGAGGCCATTTCCTTCTCCATTCAAGGAAAGAGAGCGAGATAAAGAGAGGCAGAGGCAGACGCGTATCAGCGCAGGAGTGGAGCATCTGAGAAAGAACGGATGAGAAACACTTGGGAAGACTTTCTGTCCGACATGGAAATCCTTCCTTTACCCAACAAGCATTGGCCATGTGAGCTCCCAGAGCCGGTGTGAGGAGAGGCTGATGTTATAACACATGAGGTTGGCCTAAGATAGCCCAGTAACATTTAGATACGATGTCTGTATTCTAGTCCAGTGCACAGTTTTCAAGTGTTTATGAGCCATGGAATCTTTTCCCTAATAGAGAGCTTATCCAGAAGTCCAGTACATAAAAAGATGCGAAAGGACCCTGGCTGAAGATGAGGGTCAGGGCCCTCCCATCCCAGCCCCTCTCAGGCCCCACACTAGACCCCCAGTCCTTTTATCTAAAGTGCAGAGCTTTCCTGAGCATAGTTTGAAAACCTCTGCTCTGGGGCAGTAGTACTCATACTGACTGGAGCCAAATGTGGGAACGGGTTTGAGATGAATTGCAGAGCTAACATGCCTTCTCTTTTTGGATAGGGGTAGGGTATGGGGGGGTACCTCTAAAGAATCCTCACTCTGGACAGAACCCACAGACCTGTACTTGGAATACAGGGAAGAGGTTGAGAGAATCACCAATCTCGGTCTTAGGAGTGTGGGTCTGAAACATACCTCTGGTCCCTGGACTAATCATAAGAACCTTCTCAGCCTCAGTTTCTTAATCCACAGAGTAGCATACCTAACATGTATCCTACAGCATCAGGATTAAACCAGAAAGTGTACTTACTAGCATGTTTAATTGGTAGTAACTTTTCAGTAACGTAGACTGTTATGATCATCCTCATTAGTATTATTCCCCAAAGGAACTAAGTAATTCATACTGGGTTGACCTCAATAAGACGTTTCTAGCTCCCAAGGCTGTACAAAAATAGACTGGGATATCTGATGGTGGTGAGTTGCCCAATTTGGGAGATGTTTAAGGAGGGGTTCAAGGCTACTTCCCAGGGATACTACCAAGTGGACTAATTGATTAAATGAGGGGTAGGGGTACATAGGGGCTTCCCAGGTGGTGCTAGTGGTAAAGAACCTGCCTGCCAGCACAGGAGAACATGAGACGCGGATTCGATCCCTGGGTCTGGAAGATTCCCTGGAGGAAGGCATGGCAACCCACTCCTATAATCTTGCCTGGAGAATCCCACGGACAGAGAAGCCTGGTGGGCTACAGTCCATAGGGTCACACAAAGTCAGACACGACTGAAGCAACTTAGCATGTGCACACACACGGGGGTCCATGGGTCTATTCTAGTTGAGAATCCAAATACTGTGGTTCCATAAATCTAATCCCACTTAATTTTAAGATCTTTTGAAATCAAGATTTCATCAGTGTCCAATTTTGATGATCCAGAGAGGCTGAATGTGGGAAAATGGGGAAGGCTGGTGAAGTAGGGGTCAGTCCAGAATTCTATCAGTCCCACCCCCTACAGGGCTCTACAAGGCTCTCCGACCACTCAGGTGGATGCAACCTCCTGAAATATTAACAGGTTCCAGGCAATTGCTGCTTCCCAATGCAATTAGAACCTAATTTGGGGAAGTATGTTTTTCTGAAGAGGTTCATTAGCCAAACACAACCCCCAACTCTGCAGTTCAGGAAAGACGGATGGGTCCAATATGTAGGCACTTGGCTGATGCCCCGGGAGCAAAGGCAGATGCATTAAACTAGATGGAAACACAGATCACCTTCCATCTTTGGAGCAGCAAGCCACTGACAACCTCCCCCATCTCTATGTACACTCCCCCCAACACGAGAGCCTTCAGGAAGGCACGGGGCTGCTGCCTCCCCTCCTACCACACAATCCAAACATTCACGAGGGTCTCAGACATCTTCAGTTACGCAAACTCTTAACCGTAGGAAAGGGCCCCCTTCCCAAAGACTTTGACCGTGCGGCTTGAGTTCACAACAGGCATAGGAAGGCACCCCCCTCACTCCCGCCCCAGGAAACTCATACTGTTCTGATCACAGACAGTATCTCCTGAGACATACTACCCAGACCATAGGGTCATCCCCAAGTGAAGCTCTGCGATGAGTCAAAAAACAGCACAGCTTTCTAGTATTTTCCCTTTAGCTACTTTGATGTTGTCCTCTGGCTTCTCGAGAGAAAACACTCTCAACGTGTTCCAATTTATTTGATTGTACCTAATGGCCACCTATCCTTCTGGTCCTATGTGCCACCACCTGCTTCGAACACTCTCCTTTTAGAAGTCTCCTAAAGTATGGTTCCCCCGACTGGGAACTCAGGTGTCACCTGGCAATCACAGAAAACAGCTGGCCTCATTCTTCCTCCATTCTGGACTTATACGATTATTCCTCATATACAGTTTCCTGAGTGTCACTGCGTGCTAGACAGGGTATGCGACATGTTTTAGTTCTTAAGACTACTCTGGCTCAGTTCAGGTCAGTTCAGTCACTCAGTCATGTCCAACTCTTTGCGACCCCATGGACTGCAGCACGCTAGGCCTCCCTGTCCATCACCAGCTCCCAGAGTTTACTCAAACTCATGTCCATTGAGTCGGTGATGCCATCCAACCATTTCATCATCTGTCATCCCCTTCTCCCCCTGCCTTCGATCTTTCCCGGCATCGGGGTCTTTTCAGAGTCAGTTCTTCGCATCAGATGGCCAAAGTATTGGAGTTTCAGCTTCAGCATCAGTCCTTCCAACAAATATTCAGGACTGATCTCCTTTAGGATGGACTGGTTGGATGTCCTTGCAGTCCAAGGGACTCTCAAGAGTCTTCTCCAACACCACAGTTCAAAAGCATCAACTCTTTGGCGCTCAGCTTTCTTTATAGTCCAACTCTCACATCCGTGCTACCCTGGTTAGGAAGGTATTATCCTCGTATTATAGGTGAGGAAGCCAGGATATGGAATAATTAAATAATTTTTCTGAGACCAAACCACTGTCTTTAAAGTAGGATTTGAATCTAAGACTCATTTTTAGCTACCAATCCAGTCTGCCCTTGCCTGAGGTCAACTGCTGTCATTTTATGATGTTTATAATGCTTTACACTTTATACAAGTGTTTTTTCTTAATTTTTTGTGGAAGGAACACTTAATATGATATGTACCCTTTTAATAAATTTTAAGTGAACAATACAATATTGTTGCTCCCACATACAATGTTGTACAGTAGATCTCTTGAATTTGTTTACCTTCCTCAACTGAAATTTTATGCCCATTGATTAACAACTCCCATATCCCCTTTCTTCCAATTCCTGGTGACCAGCATCCCACTGTTTGGTCTTATGAATGTTACTAGTGTAGATACCTCATATAAGTGGAATCACATAGTATTTTTCTCTCTATGACTGACTTATTTCACTTAACATAGTGCCCTCAAAGTGCAATCATATTAATACACATTACAGAATGTCCTTCTTTTTAAAGGTTGAGTAGTATTCCTTCATATGTATAAATCATGTTTTCTTGAGTCATCTGTTTGTCAATGGACATTTAGATTGTTTCCACACCTTGGCTATGGTGAATAGTTCTGTAATAAAGACAGAGTGCTAATGTATCTTCAAGATCCTGATTTCAACCATTTTGGATAAATACTCAGAAGTGGATCTGTTGGATCATGTGGTAAGTAGCAATCAAGGAAATGCAAATCAAAACCAAAATGAGATATTACCTCACACCTGTCAGAATGCTATTAACAGAAAAATAAAAGACAAGTGTTTGTGAGGATGTGGAGAAAAGGGAACTCATACATGGTTGGGGGGAATGCAAAATGGAGCAGCTGTTGTGGAAAACAGCACAGAGGTTCCTCAAATAATTAAACAGAACTACCATATACAAAACGTTTTCACATGAAAATGATTTTATTCTCAAAAAGATGTTATACCTCTAACCCTCTAAAACCTCAATTTCTATTCTACATGAGATGCTCACAAATCAGGTACACCTCGTTTGATACTACATTTTTAACTTAAAAATTTGTCAATAGAAGATAGAAATTTATGCACCCTTTAAATCTCACTTTGTTAAGAGTTGATCCATAAAGAAGGCTGAGTGCCAAAGAACTGATGCTTTCAAACTGTGGTGCTGGAAAGATTCTTGAGAGTCCCTTGGACTGCAAGGAAATCAAACCAGTCAATCCTAAGAGAAAATCAATCCTGAATATGCACTGGAAGGACTGATGCTGACGCTGAAGCTCCAATACTTTGGCCACTGGGTGCAAAGAGCTGACTCATTGGAAA